TCCAAAATCTGAGATATTTTCACTGCCCATTACTTAGAAAAAGGACACTTAGCCTGTAGAAGGTAAGAATAAAAATATTATTCCTTTCTTTCCTTAATTATAAATAATACAATTGTTGATGTAAAGCATCTAAAAAGATGAATAAAGCATACTAAAGGCAACACTTCTGGACACCTGATTAATCCATAAATCAATTTAATTTCTCTATACACCTAACAAATTATTAGAACATAAAGTTAAATCGTACTACTCATTATGACATAGAATATTAACTAAGAATAAATTTAACAAAAGATTTTTCCACAGAAAATTTTACATAGAAAATATTATTGAGAGAAATTTTAAAAGTCTAAAATTAGTGAAAGAACACACTGCCTTCATGATTGTAAATTCAATATTATAAATGTGTTACAACTTCTGACACTAATTTATAGAATCAAGATAATCCCAATCAAAATACAAACTTTTTCTTTGCAGAATTTTAGAAGCTGATTTCATATATATATAAAATCACAAGATCAAGAATAAGAGTAAAATAAGAAAACCTTAAACAAAAACATATAGGAAAGAATCACTGCCAGATGTCATAAGTAATTGTATTATAAAATTATAATCATCATCAGATTATAGAACTGGTATTACAAATATTAATAGATCAATGGAACAATATAATCACTTAAGTTATAACACTTTTATTATGAATTTGTGAGGAAATAATTGATTTTTAATAATGGTGGAGAGATAATTTAATATTCCTGTGGGAAAAGTTAATCTTATCCTTATTCTACATACAATAGTAGTCTACAGGTAAATAATAGTTCCAAATTTTAAAGAAATAAACTAAAAATGCTTTGTAAAAGATAATGAGTATCCTCATGAATTTTTAGTATAGAAATAATTGAAAGTAAAAGACTCAAAGTGTAAACTTTAAAATTAAAAACTCTGTCCATCAAGAGACACAATTAATGGAATAAAAAGCAAGATAGGATAGAAGGGATATGCAAATGAACTCATTCCCAGAATATTACTGAGAAAGCCTGCTAGAAATAAGAAAAGAAAACAACACAATTAAAAAATAGGATCCTGAACAGGTACTTCACAGAAGCAAATATATGATATCTGAACACCAAATTGAAAAGATAAGTATCAGTTTTGATCACAAAAATTAAAAATACAATCAATATACATTAGGCCACGAATCCTACAGAAAAGCCAAGCCTAAAGCACTGACAGTGTGAAATCTTGGGGAAGGCATCTGGGCGTTCTCTTAAAATGCAGATAACACAGATTTGCCTCTGTCTTCAGAGATTCACCAACTGCACCAGTTCCACTGCCCTTTCCTCCCGGGCACACAGCTGGTCTAAATGCCCAATCTCCTGCTATGGCCACATGACTAAGCTGCAGCAAGGAAGATGCAGAATTTAATAACTCACTTCCAGAGGTTGGCCCCAGAATTGCCCTCCATAACCTCCATTACCTTTTCCCCTTTTAACAGCCAGGTAATTTTGCCCAAGGTGACCTTAGAAATGGCATTAATGATGACAGTTTCTAAGAGCACGAGCACACACCCACCCCTATCTCTTTAACGGATTTTGACTTTTATTGTATGATGCAACTAAGATTTTATTATCAATCTGTTAAGGCAGTAGTATTATTGTTGCTGATGTGCGTGCATGTACACACACACACACACACACACACACACACACACACACTTCTCTCAGGCTGCATTTGATTCAGATTGTAACACTTCAAAAATGGTCTTGAAAGTAGCTTCCTCTTCTGAACAACTCATTACATCCTGCGCACAAGAGGAACATCCCTGCCCATGTCCTACAACACTCAAACTTTCACTAGTTCAGAGAAAATGCAGAACAGTCCACATAGGTGCCAACTCCGGATTCAGTTCTCACTGAATTCAATAACATCCTTGTGTTTGTTGGCTGTATGATATGAACACACTATAAAAACTTCAGGGGGGTTATTTTGTTAGACTTTAAAATGCTACAACATCAACAAATGGGACAAATAGTCTAAGGACATAATTTCTGCTATCAGAGTACTGCACTGTGAACCCCAGTTTTGCCAGTTAGCTAACTTGGCCACTTGTGCCCAATAATAGGGAAGGCCGTGGTGCAAAGCTCCAGATTCAGAGCTAGAAGTCTGCGTTCCCATTCTGGCCCCACCCACAGGTCTACTCACCACCGAGCTGGTAGCAAGAAGCTTCAGGGTTCCTTATTTACAGGAACCCTCCCAGTGTCTTCTAACCATATTTTGTATTTCATGTTTCTGAAAGAGGATCCCCAAAAGCATGAATAAAAATTTGGAGCTACCACAAAATCTGGAGCAAAAGCTGCCTCCACCGGTTACTGGCTCTGTAACATAGCCTGGATGTGACAACATAGCTCTTCTCAAAGGGTTGCCATTAGGATTCAGTGACTGAATTCATATGACCATGCTTAAAACAGTGCCATGCACATGCCATGTCCTCCATGAATGTTAGGTCCACAGCTCCTTTTCCTAGCCTTTCTCTATCTTGTTCTTTCCTGAGAACTGTCAGGTCCCTGGGCACCTTTCTGTTTGCAACTCTAGCCTGTAGGGAGCTTCCCTTGAGTCCTGAATTCCTTCCTTTGTGTGTTTTATCTTTTATTTTATGAAAAAAATCATAACAAAATAATCAGAGAATAATAGTAATTAATACACTGTGTATTGTCATCTTCCAAGTAGCTACTCAGAGGAAAAGATTTATACCAAAAAGATTATTGATGTATTTCCTGTAAGCCTCCTGAGTTGATTACAATCCAGTCTAAACAGCCTCTAGTAGAGCTCTTAAACCTATGAGACTTTTCACTGCTTGGTCATTGCCTTCATGGTGACAATTTTTGTTTATATTGTCCTCTGCAGAGCCATCTCCTAGATTGAATTTCTCAACAAAACCATTGGCATGAAAGTGGAATTATCACCAAACTTGTTGTACATTACATTCGGAAAGTATTGCTACGTGTCACTTATACTCTAAAAAGCTATTTAGACTTCATCCTCCCTTTGAAATATTGACCTTTTGAACAAATTCAGGCCTTGAATACTGGCTTTTCTGTGCCAACTTGGAACAGACTTGGGACACAAACATTGTTGCATACTGGATTTTCCTTCTACCTCCTCTTAAGCGAATCACAGTGAGAATAATCAGCATTATCTGAAGGCTACTGTTATAAAAGTTAATCACGTATTTTAAAAATTATACTTATAAAATATATAGATTGGTTTACCAACAACCAGCCACCATGTCTAGCCAAGTAGACATGAAATTAACTAGCATACTAGGAAAGGCATGCATAGTACCTAAGAGTTTTCTATGTATTTTCAGTGTTCTGAGTATCACAATTCCCTGCCAGTTTACAGGATAATGAACAAGTTACCTTCAATTGATTCTCTTACCTCATTGTCCGCGGTTATTCTGTCATAAATTTTATTGAGAGTGTTGCAGAAAAATCCTGAAGGATAGATCTGTGCCTTCAAATATAGCCTTGTCAAGGAGCTCTTTTAATACTTTCCCACTGTGGACACAATCTAGAGTCTTTGATTTTGTTCCTTAGATAATCTCAGCTAGACTGCCTTTCCAATGGTAATTATTCAAAGAAGTAACAGAGTAGCAAAACTTAAAAATAAAACAAAAAAATGTTTATGGGGGAGGGTCACTGTGACCCGGGCAAGGTAATACAAAAGCATTGTTCCTGAGCCTAGGAAATAGAAGCAGAGTAGAAAAGATGTGATCACACCATAGCTGAAGTTACAAAAGAAGAAAGGTATGATTTCCAACTCAGAGGAATTTGGATGGAGCTCCAGAAGGAGTAAAATAAGCAGGAAAGAGAACTTTAAAATACACATATAGAAGTTGGGAACATACACTGAGATTGTAATTCAGAATGCTGGCTCTGGCTATTTATTTGGACAACTCCTACCACAATAATTTTCTCTCATGTCCAGGAGGTTCTTTCTTGACTTTTATCATGCAAAGCACAAATAAGTTCCCTAGTCATAGATTAAGGTATAATTTTAATTTAGCAAAGAGAAATAGCACAATGCCAGTGTTGGCAAGAGTGAATCTCCCCATCATTCCATGAAGAGGAATTCTTGGATCAGAAATCACCTAGACATGGTTTGAGTCCCATTCTAGTGAACAAAATCCATCCTATGGTATCTTCCTATGTGCTCTTTGCCATAAGATCTGTGTGAGATATGACCACAAGACTACTTCAATATGGAAAGAAATAGAAATATTGATATTTAAAAGTCTAACTTGGAAATGCGTGCTATGTAGATGAACTGTCTAGAACTGAAATGTTAGCTCCTTGCAATGGGGACTTAGGAGCATATGGGATCTTGGGCATGTGCAGAATGTACTACTGTACAGGAAGTTCAAAAGGACTCAGCAATCACAAACACCTTCACATTTCCACCCCACACTCAACTGTACCCTGTTGCAGGCCCCCGCCATCACCCACAGAAGCCTGGCTGTTCCTTAGATCAGAAGCCCTGATCAATTTATAACTAAAAACCTCTTTTTAGTAATACCTCCTCTTGTCCTTACTCTAAAGTGACCACACAAATGTGCTCTAGAATTATAACTTGAAGTCTGCCACCATGGCTGGCTCGCTGCCTGCAGAGACACTGGCTGAACCTAAAGCTGCAAACAGCAAGACTGATGGGTATGAAACGGGGCAAATGAAAAACATATCTGTGATCCAGAGGACAATCACTCTGAGAAGCTCTAATGCTGAGAAAACAAGGAAGGGCATCTCTCCCTGATCCTAACAATCTAGTAGAATGTTCACTTTTTCCATAGAAAAACAAGGAAAGATCATGAGTAGGAGAGTGATTGGGTGATTCCCCTAATGGAACTACCTGACAGCCCTTCCTCTTCCTTGAACTGCATATAAGAACTGTGCTGGCACCCGGGACACTACTGTCCCTGGACATCACCTCCCGAGTCCTCCAGGATGCAGGCTCTCCAGCTCCTGTTCAGGGCCAGCCCGGCCGCCCTGCTCCTGGTTCTATGCTTGCAGCTGGGGATCAGCAGCGCCCAGGAAGACACGTGAGCCAAGCCCTTCTCCTCCCTACAGAAAGCCCATGGGGAGGGCTCCCCTCCTAACCTAGAAATGGACATGTCCCTTCTGGGAGATTTTGAAGCTTCCCATTCATCTTGTCTCACGAGCTCTCATGACCTCATGGGAGATTCCACATCCCTATTCAAGGAAGCCCCATCAACCCTCTCACACTCCCTCTGCAGCCTTCAAGGTTACCTGTTGAATAAGTTTTGCCAGGACACAGAGACTTTAATTATTAATCAGTCTTTCTCCAGGCCAGGTGTAGTGACTCACACCCGTAATGCCAGCGCTTGGAGTGTAAAGCAGGAAAATCACTGTGAGTTCAAGGCCAGCCTGTGCTACACAGTGAGTTCAAGACAGGCTTTAACTATACAGCAAGACCTGTCTGTAAGAAAAAATTAATTGTACTCTTTGTCTCGGAACTACAGAGCATCCTCAACATTTTTCTTCAGAGTTCTGCTTCCTAAAGTTTACTTTCTCACACCGTGCCTCACACAAGAAGAGATGCAGAGGTCTGAGAGTCCTAACAACAGCTCTGTACAGCTTTAGCAGGACTCACTGAAAGATGCGATGTCCTCATGTCACCATCTTATGTTCTGAGGTTGAGGTAGGCTGCATGCACCTGAGATGTCCTTTTGTCCTTAAGCCAAAAGATGAATACTAGGGACTTCTTTCCCACACCTACACTGAGACCTGGGACCACAGGTTCACAAGTCAATGTACTGAGAATCCTAATTTGAAGGAAGCAGAAAAGTAGGGAAGTAAAATGAAGTAGGAAAGGGAACAAGGAGTCTGGGAAGAATCAGGGATGCTTAGCAAAATCCTATAGTTTTCTCTCCAGCATCAGACCTGAGCGATGAGTCTCTGGACCACGATCATGGAGGTGCTCTGAGCAACCATGGCCAATGTCCTTTCCTAGAGGCAGCTATTCAGGCTTTTGTCAACCTGGTACAAAGGAGACAAACAACCTCAGAGATGCTATGTGAGGATAGGTTCAGCTCCAAATGTTAGCAAAGAACATATAGGGCACTGTACCTTAATTATTTTTTCTTTTTGTGTTTAAAATTTTTTTTCATAGAAAAAATGCAACTGCATAGTTTTCAGTGAAACTAAATCCACACAAAACAACCAAAGCAATCAGCACAGCTGAGTGCTTGGGGAGTCTGATGCTGAGCAGTTGATCCAGGCCCCATCATCCCCTCCCTGGCACTGTCCCTCTCCCTCCTGCCACCTCACGGTGCCCACCCCATCCATGGACCAGTTTCTGATCTCTGTGACCTGTCTTGCTCCTTCCAGAACTAGTCGAAGGGCAGTAATACTCAATATGGAGATGCCACAGGCAGCCAGAGCCGGTGAAGAAGTCACCTTGAAGCTGAACGTTCAGACAGAATTGAGAGAATGCATGGTGGTAAGTAGAGACCTAGGGGAGTGACTACAAGACAAATTTAAGTCCTTCATGATGAATGCAATATACTCAAGCTCTCACTTTAATATTGCACAGTAAACATTATAAAATATTCTCAAATATGCTGTGCTTTCTGAGCTATAGAACAATTGTGAGAGCGTATCGAAGATAACGACTTTTACTTTACAGATCAAGAAACTCTGGTCCAGGAAGATTTAGGGAGGTAGGGAAAGAGCGAAAAATGAATAGGAAGTGAGAGAAAAAGAGAAAAGATGCACGTGCTGGTAGAACACTGGTAGGAGTTTCTCCACGGCTCTGAGCATGGTGCATACAGCATGGGGTTTGAGCAGGGGTTGCTCAAAAGAACACACTGCAACCTTGTGCAGTAGATTAAATCAGGTGGGGTACAGAAGATCAACAGACTCTGGTGTGTCCTGCTGCATAACCTCTGCAATGAGTCTGCTTTCCTCTTGCCCTTCCTCTGCTCTTTTGCTCTGTCTCTCCAATAGCTGGCTTTTGTCCAGGCCTCCCCGGCCGCACAAGGCGCTACATGCTTCCTCTCCTTTTCATAGCTTAGCAACTGGCAGAAGAAAGTTGAATCTCTAAACTATAGCAGAGATTTTCAAATCATGGTGCATCTAAAACTCACCTGCTGGTCCCGTCAAACAACAGAATCTGATTCAATGCTCTGGGAGAATCAGAGCTTCTATATGTGTACCAGCTCCCAGGGCATGTGGAAGCTCTTTTCAAGAGTCCATTCTTTGAGCAGCTTGGGGTTAGAGGTTTACATCACCCAAATTTCCCAACAGCATGGGTGAGATGTAAGGACAGCAATTAAGCAGGAAACAAAATTGGAAGCATAAAGACACCTATTCATTAAAATACATGCTAATACATACATATAAGAGTACAATTCTTGATCATTAAGCAAAGACTATCCCAGCTGCTTTGTCAAATTTTTTGTTTGCCATCCATAAATCTGAACCAAGGGGCTGGGGACTTAGTTCAACAGCACAGCGCCTGCCTGGCAAGCGCAAGGTCATGAGTTCAATTCCCAGTACTGGAAAAAAACAAACAAATAAACAAACAAAAATAAAACAACCCATAAATCTGAACCAAATATGTTGTCCTGGGTTGGAAGAGAGACTAATTCATAGTTTTTCAGTTTTGTGTTTTGTTTGTAATAACCAGAGATGACAGTGTGGAAAATGTACACATGATGCATATGATTAATATTTGTGATAATAATAATCTCTGGCCATGATAAATAACAAATTTACATTTGACTCCTGAAAAAGTGACAGATGTATAAAATGTACTCAGGTCAACACAATGTCATATAATATTACAATCGAGAAAAATAAACCTTAAGAATAATCCTGGTACAATAAAATACATTGATCTTTTTAAAACCCACCTAAATCCATGTAAAAATCTCTTTGGTCTGAGTCAGTGAATTGCAAACCAAAAAGAATTTGTGTAAAGGGAAATTTTGCTAACTCTATTCGGCTAATTTTTATTTGTAGCTTTCAATAAAATATGAATATAAGGCTTTTAAGCATCTTCACATTTTAAAACTGTTAGGAAAATAGAATTTGTTCATTAGTTTAAAATTTCTACTACCTTATTTTCTATCAAATGCAATACTTTTACAACTAAAGTTTTGTTAAGGTGAAATCTTAGACATACTTCTTTTAGAGCTAAAACAGAATGGATTACGCTTATATATTCAAATATAAAAATTGTATAACACTTTAAAGCTAAAAATAACTTATGGTCAGCCACAGGGCTTAAGCAGTTTTGTAATATAGACCATTTTGTGGGTCTCATAAAGTCTTTGGCACCTACTGGGAAAAAAAGTTTTTAAATGCACAATGTGCATTAGATGACTTATGAAACTAAAACATTGAATGACAAGGTTAAATTAAATAAATTAAACTTATGAAACAATAATATGTGTGTTTCCTGATGTACTGGCTGAAAAAGCAATAGATTTAAACTACAAACAAGTTAAAGTTCATCTGGTGAAGACACGGTCTGTGCCGGCTGTTGTAGCAGTACAGCAAATAGGGAAGGGAGGAAAGAAAATACAAGGATAGGCTGATTTGCACTCCAGCGCTCTCCAAGGCATTCTGAATAGCATCCAATGGCGAGAACGCTGGGATTTCCTGTGGGGCAGAGGGTTATTCACTGCGGAATTTCCAGGTAACTGAGCAAGCTTCTGGGCTGGGCAGATAACAGGTGGCCTCAGTCAGGCACACCCAGCCATCCTGATAACTCCTACATGTTCAGAGCAGTGATGAATGCGGGTGACATTTTTAAGATATGTTAATCTGGAAAGTGCTATGAACCATTTTCTTCTTCCTTGTTATAAAAATCACACACTGAGCTGATGCTACATGGAAATTTCTTTCCATCTGGATTTACACAGCTACCGTACTTATTCACAGGTCCCTCTGGGTTGACAGACAACAGAGTAGGAGCCCTTAATTAGCACTAAATAGGCATTGAAATTGATACACAGAATAATCTGAGATATTAAGTTGTAGGGCCCAAGTTGAAAAGGAAAATAAAGGGAAGAAGTTTGCCCTTTAGATTTCCTTTTCTTATCTAATAGTCGGGCTTGTGAAGTAGCTGTTTCCTGCTCACAGTGAAGGCAGGTAGCAGTGAGATGAGTAACCTTCAACACCGAGGGTCACAAAGTTACCAGGGAGCACAGCAGGGCCTGATCAGCCTGCCAGTGAGGCCCGGCCTTTGTGTCCACAACCAGGCAGCCAGGATGCCATCTCAGCCATTCACAAAATAAAATACCACGCAGGCCATCTCCCAGAATGCCACTGATAAGGAAGGCCGGTCTGCTCCTGGATGGACTGCCAACCAGGAGTGAAACCTTGTGACTTCACCTGCATCTTCCCGTCCCCTCCTGACTCTCATGCCTACATGTCTCAGTGATGGGTGGGTATACAGGAGGAGCGAGAATCTGACAGAACTAAAGTGGGCTCCTCAGTAACTCTGACCCAGCTCTTTCTTCTTCCTCTTGTCTTTCTTCTCTTTCACATTCACCAGACTAACACTGAGTCGTCTTCCCCCACCAGATTAAAACTTATCTCGTAAGCAGCAGGTCAATGGATGGCCCCTTCAACTATAAATACACTGCCTGCCTCTGTGAAGATGCCCCAAGGACTTTCTACTGGGACTTCCAGAGCAACAGTGAGTACACGCATTATCTAAAGAAGGGACCCTCTGTGACGGAGGGAAGAGCAGAAACAGAAGTCATAGGAAAAAGCAGAGTTAGGTGGGGAAGAGCAACCTGGGGAGCTGGAAGAATGATGTCCAGGTACCAAAAGGGAGGCACTGTGTGAGAAAAGCTAAGAAAGGTGATCATTTGCAAATGCTTTGGGAGAACTGAGGCCCAGTGGATAAGTGCCTGATTCCAGCAAACAGCAGAGGACCCTGAAGAGGCTTGAGGTGATCTTTGTGCTCCTCTCTTCCAGACACTGTACGAATTGCAGCAGTGGTTGACATTATCCGGGAGCTGAATATCTGCCCTGAAGATCTGGCCGTGGTACCTATTCAAGCAAATCGGGTTTATTCTATGAATACCCTGTATATAAATTACTAGCAACCCTTGTGTGTCTCACAATGCCCATGTAGTTTCCTCTGAGTCAGCTGAGCTGGGGAATCTGGTGCGGGTTTAAAATAAACTTCTTACAAGCTTCCTGTGTTCTATCGTACTTCCCTCCAGACTCTGTCCTAGCATCTGTCCTAGAACACCAAATTCCTGTAAGGATGAATCTCTTTCTGAAAACAGTTACTGCAGACACTTGCTTTCTAGCACCCATAAAGCAATTGACTTCATGCTCAGCCCTTGTGGAAGTCTCTAAAAGGAAGTGACAAGACACGTGGATTTAGACAGCCTCACTCTTTGGTAGCAAATGCCCACCAGATGCAAATCTAAACCTAAGAAGCTTCTGACAGCCAGTCAGGCACATCTGGGTAACTATGATGCAATCAGGGGTATGAACAGGGAGGATTTGTTCAGTACTTGAAAAGCCCTTACATAGCAATGTTTCTAAAGAATGCCATCCCCAAGATAAAGTCAGTCCTTGAATTTAAGAAAAAGTGGTACAATATTTTCCAGTGAAGCCATGGAATCCGGGATTTCCTTTTCTTAGTTTGTAAATATGAGATTAAGTGATAAAGGAACAAAAGTGGAGCTGAAGTGAGACGCTGCCGAGTCACGGTCCACCGTGCAGAAGTAAGGACAGAAGTTTTTCCCAGCCGTACGCATCTTGATCTCATCACTGGGAGTCTGGAGTCAGAAAGGAACCCGGAAAAACTTCGGGATTTCATCACACAACTACAATTATATGTGCACCTATATTTTTAAATTACTGTGTAAGACTGAAAGAGGTGGATTTCTTTTTCCTTTCCATCTGTCTGAGCAATATAAAGATTTTTTGTAGTAACTGAGAGGCTCCTTCCACTGACACCTGAGGTTCCTGGACATTTTGAGGCATTATTCTCACCATAGCATCACAATCATCCAAATCTATTTTTCCTCTTTCTGCAAAAAATGGGAACAGCACATTTGACTGCTCTGTACCCAGGGCAAGTCAAATCTCAAGGGGCCTAATGAGGACAGTTAGGCCAGGGGACCATTTATACGTTTCCTCCTCTGCAAGTGGAACAATTAGAACACAGAAAAAAAAATTGAAAACCAAGGGGCTGGGGATTTAGCTCAGTGGCACAGCGCCTGCCCAGCAAGCACAAGGTAGTGAGTTCATTTCCCAGTACTGGAAAAAAAAATTTTTGAAAACCAAACAAACACACAAAAACTAACAAAAAACAAAATCTAGTGTGCCGCTAGCCATGACTTCTCATTCCTCTGTCTCTTTCCCTGGGAGATGCAAGTCTTCTTCTGGGCTGGAGAGCGCAGAAAAGTCCACCAAGCAGCACAAACACGGCGTACATGAGACTTGTCTCAGTATTCCATGCCTCCTAACCCAGATGTGCATCTATTTTATTTTACTGTGCCACACCTGTCACATAAGGCCTCAGCCCCTATAAAATTCTATAACTCAAATATCTTTCTTGTTCCATCTGTTGAACTATTCAGTCTTTCATTGATGGTCCTGTGTTTGATAACATTTGAAATATAAATACACTTTTATAATTGTTCTTTTTCCCTGTAACCCATTTTATAGAGATAGCACAACTAGAAGCTACAGGACCACTCTCCTCCACTTACCTGAACCTGAGCAATACACCAGGGCCGAGCTTTCCTCCCGTGTCCCACTACGTGTAAGTAGAAATGATAATAGCAAAGACTCTAGGAATTTTCCAAATCTCTAAACCAGGACACATGTGTCTACACCTGCTGGCATGATCTACAATTGCCTTTCTTCACTTGGAGCTCATTTTATTATTTTTTTTTTTTTTTTGGTTTTTCTCCAGTACCGGGAACTGAACTCATGACCTTGCACTTGCCAGGCAGGCGCTTTGCCGCTGAGCTAAATCCCCAGCCCCACTTGGAGCTCATTAAAGGTTCACATATGTGGACTGCATTTCATGCATTCAATTATAACAGAGTGAATGATGGGAAAGGTATCTGCAGTAGACATTGCTGATATGACTCAGCACCCTGTCAATCATGTTGTCAGTCATGCTCTGACAGACCCAGTGGGAGGTGCCCTAGGCCTGGCTCACGTTTCATCTTCTTAAGCTCAAATATTCCTCTCTTATTCCATTTTCCTTTGCTCCATTCTGAGTGTGCTCAACTGTATCCTCAACACTCACATGGTTTCCTTTCAGTTACCCCAAGCTTGCAGGCCCTGAGTGTACCTTTGCCCTTTAAACTTCATTAAACTTGGCTGATTTTCCTTGCTGTTGCATGGAAAATATCCAATTCTCTGCCCATGGAGCAGAAGAACCTGGCAATCTGTCCTGGGACCACATCACCCACAGTAACACATTAATTACTATCGCTGGATAATGAGGCTGAAGTTGATCACCTCTTGAGGAAGCCAAACATAGAAAATAGAGGACAAAATTCGGCATATGATTCCTAAAGCACAACTTTGTATGCTGAAACAAAGACAATGCCTCAAAGCAACCAATAAGTGTAGATGAAGGGATCCAACTGCTGCCGTTCTAGGCTGAATGGAGATCACTTTAAACTTCTTCCCCTGCTACATTCCTACACTCGCTAAAAATGTATAACCATGGGTTGATAAGGCCCACTCAGCACAGCTACAGCCTAAATCTCCCATGATTACTCAGCCTTGCTCTCGACAAGCAACTGCAAGGCTCTGTATGTTCTCAAGCCTTGTCCCTGGCAGGGGGCCACAACTCCTTTCCACTGAGTTCTCCCCCTCAAAAGTCCCACTTTGACCTTTTGCTTTAACAGCCCTGCTATATGCCCAGGCCCTACAAAAGACCTAATATCCTGTACAACATTACCCAGTCTGGTGTCAGTGCCTGGGCAGGTCCTCTCAGATTTTTCCAAAATAAACCTGTCCTACTGAGCTTGTAGCTTTGTTTTTGTTTTTCCTTTTTTCCTGAAAGTAAAATCTTTTTCAGGGAAAAAAAAATGTGTACTGAATCTCAAAAACTGACCCCAAGTAACTCATAATATAAAACCTAAATTACAAGCAATAGAAGCCAACCAAGACACACAGTCATGGAAGAACCAATTTGCTCATAAGAGGAAATAAACTCTGATGACTAATGAAAGAGGAAGAATGAAAAAAAAAAAAGAGGGAAGAGAAGTAACTACTAAAATAATCAACTTTTCCTTGATCGTTACACCTAAATTTCTAAGTCTGAAAAAATACAATAGAACATGCTCTTGCCTTTCTCCCATAAAATGGGTTTCTACTTGGGAATGGACGATGCCCTTTCAGCTGTAGAAAAGACTGTATTTCCATTGTATATTGAACCTGTACTTTCTATAGATTCAAAAATTCCACACATATCCACCCTAAAAACCACAACAATACACTCAGCCCTAGACCATAAGCACCTCGAGAGTCCACCCTCCATCCTCTCTGCCTGGGTATTTCTTTAGTTCTGCCTTCATAAACCATCCTAATGACTCTTGATGAAGTATTCTCTATTTCCTGTGACTTAAGTCTGTGAATTTAAATCTGTTCTGTAGGTGAGGCAAAATGTATAATTTAGTAGTAATTAAAATACAACTATATCAATTATTATGTCAAATTGAGATGTATTTAGTGTTTACATTGAAAGACTAATATATAGACTATAATTATCTTTATGTAATTTTTTATTTTAAAGAGAAAAGAGCAAAAACAAAATTAATAAAAATAAAGACAAAAATAAAACAACACAAAAACAATAAAAAATGATACAGAATTTTAGAAAAGATGATAGGAAATTAACAATGGTTGTTATATTACATATTGCTATCTTCAAAGTAGTTGCTCAGATTACCAGATATAGGCATGCAAGAGTGATCAGATAATTAAACATTAATTCTTCCTTTCATTCAATAAACCAATAAAAATTAGTAGTACCATTATCTTAGCTGTCTTGTGTGTATATATTTTCTTCCCTTTCCTTCTTTCTTTCTTTTCTCCTTTCCCTCATCCCAGTTGTTCTTTCCTTTTGAGCAGTTTCTTTCCCTTTCACGATATCTATTATACCTTTCAGGTTTTATTTACTCTTTCAGGTTCTTACACTAGGGAGGCAATATGATGTTTATACATGTGGGTCTGATTTATTTCACTTTGACCGTATAATTTTCAAATTTCAAACTTATGCTGCTTATAAAAGTCCCATCTCAAACTTCAAAGTGTGAAAATAAACGCAAGCAGGAAGAATTACAGACAACAACTAATCAGCTGATACCGCTACCTTCATATTAGGTATAATGGACATTTGACCAAAATTAATAAGGTAATGAGATAAGCTTCTGATCAACAAAATTGAGTTCAACCAGAAGATATGATAATCACAAATTCATACATATCTAATAATGTGCAAATGTTATTATATACTTTATATATATACTTATAAATAAATAATATACATATCTCAAAATATGTAAACTTTTACAAAATAAGGAAAAATAGAAATTATAAATGTTTTATTTAAAAATATCTCATTATACATTCTTAGTGATTCATACAAAAATTAATTCAATGAAAATATAGAATATTTAATGTCATTAAGTGAAATAAATAAGACACATAAGCGTTAATACTGCATGGTTTCTCCTTTTTTTTCTTTTTGTTATTAGTACATGTTTTCAGTACATGCAGTCTACAGTCATCTTGGGGAGTAGGTACATGTACACACTACAATTTGTTCTGTTTTTTTAAATCATCTTCCTCGTCCCTTCTGCCTCCCTCCCTCCTCCTCTAATGCCCCTTTCTCCCTTTTCATTCTTGTTGATACTATTAATCTTTGCTCATGTTGATGACATACAGTGTTCACATTCATTGACGACTGGGTTCCTGCCCATGGCAGACCTTTATTCTAATTATTTCCCCTTCCACTTCCCCTCACCCCTCACCACTCACCCCTTCCCATTTGCAAGAGATCCGTCCCCTTGTCTCCTTCTTTCCATCCTGTATTATCCTCTTTGTTTGTACTTTGCCTTTCTCAAATGAGTAATACCATATGATAT